AGTAACACATGGTAATGTTTAAACTTTATCTGGAATTTTAGCCAACTCTATGGTTTTAACAAAGATGATTTCCTTTTAAAATATAATTTTAAGTAGTTTAATATAATTTTTAAAATTATTTTTATTTTATGTGTATATTACCTGCATGTGTGTAAAGTGCACCCATGCAGTGCAATGCCCATGGAGGTCAGAAGAGAATGTCAGATCCCCTGAAGCTGTAGTTATTGATGGTTGTTAGCCACCATGTGAGTGCTGAGAATCAAACCTAGGTCCTCTGTAAGAGCAGTCAGTGCTCTTAACTGCTGAGCCATCTCTTCATCCCCAGTTTATTATAATCTTAAGTATGGTTTTGTTTTTTTGCCCTCAGTTTCTAGATGAAATTCATGAGAAGCCAGATAAGATAAATATTTAGTATGTATCAGTTTACCTTTGTCACTGACCAAAATACTGGAAAGAAGAACCTTGAGGCAAGAAAGTTTTATTTTGACTCAGAGTTTCAAAGGGATTTCAGTCCATCACACTGGAGGAAGGTGTGGTGGAGGGAGCAATGCTGTCTATGGTCATGGGAATGTGAGGTGAGGTTATTCACATGCTGGCAGACCAGGAAGCAAAGAGCCCAGACAGGAACCATGTGCAAGGTTCCTTCAAGGGCCTGCCCCAGTGACCTCCTTCCACCAGCCAGGCCCTACCTCCTAAAGGTTTCATAGCCTTCAAAAGAGTGCCACAGGCTGGGGACTGAGCATTTGGAACATGAGCCTATTGGGGCCATTTCAGATTCAAACTAATAAGTACTGTGTTGTGTTTGTAATAACTTTGCCGCCCCCTTCTGCGTGTGTGCGTGCATGCATGCATGTGTGTTTGCTTTTTGTTTCTCGTGTTAGGATCTTGAACTCTGGCCTTAGCTCCACATTGTGCTGTCTGGCCCCAAACTCATGGCAATCCTCCTGCCTTAGCCTCATTGAGTGCTGGGATTACAGAAATGTGCCATCACTAGGCTTGTAGTATGTTTTGAAGTCAGGAGCCTTCAGCTTTGTTCTTTTTTCTTGGATTTATTCTGCTTACTGTGCTTTCTTGTGAGTTTTAGAATTGTGGGCATCAATGCAGCAGAAGACAGGAAGCATTTACTGAGAAATGACAGCATCTAAATTAGAATCTGCAAGGTCCTGCTTAGGGTTTATTTATTAATCCACTCAAATCTAAGGCCTCCATTTCAGTGACAGAACAGTGAGAAAGATACACAGCCCATCAGAGTGCAGTGGAAAAATCTAGAGGCTGAGGTCACTCTGGTTTTAGTATATGATTTAATGAGGTAATTCATTTCTCCCCTTAAGGTAGGAGGCCCAAAAGGAGAGAGACGGATAGACGCACAGATAGGCATGCGCTGTCTGAAAAGAGGGCTGTGTACTCTCTTCATCCTCATGGTTCTTGGCTTCCATCACTGTGTCACTGAAATCTTTTCTCTTGGTAAACATTTCTAAAGGCTCAGAAGGCTTAATCATCTTAAATGTTCAGAATATCCTTGTCTCTAGTTTCCAGAAAAGTTTCACAATAAAAGAGAAAGCAATGGAGTTAGTAAGAACTCTGGGGAATGTGTTTTCATGCTTCCCAGTCTTTTTCAGAAATGTGTTTATGTCTCCAAACTCACCAAGAGCACATGAGGGAAAAAAGGCCTTTTTCTCCTTCAAGATCACGAGTCAGTATTAGGTCTTATCAGAATGAAGGGAAGGCTATATGCCACTGTTAGAGAAAGTGCTCACTGAGTATACCTGCTGTTTCCCAAGTGTGAGTGAAAAGTGATTATTTGTGTCTTTTTTTAAGCCATCTCACATTTAATGACCCTAATAGGGAGTTTTGAAACCTCTATTTGGACCATAGGTACTGGCATTATTCATATCACTATAGAATCTTTTAAGTTCCTTTCATGAAAAAGAAGTGCCATTTTCAGATAAGGGATATATTGGTCTTCCCCTCTGGTCCCATGTGACTTCTGAGTTTATTTAACTCAGGCATTTATTATTTTATATTATAGATTTGAGCACAGTAAGATCATTAGTCTGGTAGACCTTCTTACTGTGGGAACAATCCATTGATCACACACTCTTTTCAGTCTGGCAGCTGTCAAAGCATCTGTGGTGCCCTTGAAGCATGTGAAGGAGCTCCTGCAGCGTCCCGTGTGGATTAACGCTGATGTTCTCCCAGGGCCAAATGGGAGTAGCAAAGTAGTAGATGGCAAGCTGTTTATAGACACTGTGACGTCCTCGTTTCCAGAGGTGACCCTTTCCTTGGGTTGGACAACAGGGTGGCATCCTGAGAAAGTCAATGAAGGTAGTCATTCTAATCATGTGTTTATTGTTGGTCAAGTCAAAATATCCTCCAGTTATAAAAGTAACATCTTTAACACAAAGAAAAAAATCATCTTACACAGCCTAAGAGCCTAATAGAGAGAAAGGCGATGTTGCAGGTATGTGTGTGTCCCTCCTTCCTGTGATTTCAGAAGACCTTGATGACATTTGTCCACAAGCTTCCACAGGAAGGCATAGAATAACCACAGTTGTCTCTTTACACACTTGGGATAAATCCTGAGTCTGTCTTTTCAAACTTGTAAAATATTCTAGACTCTTCTTTCTCCTACACCATGGAGCACACTCCTTATGTCATATGAAGCACACACAGTGAATGTCCTAACATGATTTATAAAGTTGGTTTTACAACTATTTCTACTTTTCATAAAATATATAAGTAATTTGGAGTAGCCAAAAGGAAAAATGATTTGACTTTAATAACCCATAAACAGTAAGTACCTAGCAGCCACCTTTACTTGGAAAAGTTAACAGAAACAGAAAAATCTCAGTTTGTAGAGACTACAATGGCACACACTTTGAAAATATCTTCCTAAGGGAAGGCCTTCAAGTCTTTAATGTAAATAAAAATAATGAAAACTTGCTTTTTGTGCACTTGAAGAATTAGTAAAACATTTTTAGTTTTTTTTTGTTTGAAGCAGGGTCTCCCTGTAGCCCCAGCTGTCCTTGCACTCACTATGTAGACCAGGCTGGCCTTGAACTCACAGAGATCTGCCTGCCTCTGCCTCTCAAGTGCTGGGACTACAGGCATGCGCCCCCACGCCCAACTTCATTTTTAGTTTTTATGTTGGTTTTCATCTTTTTTATTTTGATGCTTGAGACTGAATCCAGGGTCTTGGATGTGCTAAGTTTGTTTTCTACCACTGAGACACATCCTCTGCTCCCTTAAAATCTCCTTTTTTAAAAAAAGATATATTTTTATTTTACGTGTGCGAGTGTTTTGTCTGCACTAAGTACATGTGGTACCTGCGAAGGCCAGAAGAGGGTGTAGAATCCCATGGAACTAGAGTTACAGATGGTTGTGTGCTCCGGTGTGGGTGCTGGGAATGGAACCCAGATCTTCTGCAAGAGCAGCCATTGCTCTTAACCATTGAACCATCTCTCTAGCCCCCTTAAAACTTTATTTGCTTTGGTTATTCGTGGCATCATGTTTAAATTTATATTTCTACTGAAAATATTTTCTTAACTATCCAGGTATGCTGTCATACCTTGAAATTCAAGCACTTAGGAAGCTGAAACAGGATTGTGAGTTCTAGGCCATACTTGGCTACACAGGAACACTGTTTCTCAACAAGCAAAAAAATTTGCGTTGTCGTTGTTACTTGGCTTGTTGTTGTTGAGCTTGCCTAGCATGTCCAAGACCCTGAGCTCCTCTCCCAGCATCATTTACAAAAATTCAAGGTATTTTTTTCACTGTATTGTGATATTGTAATCTGCTCTGAATTCAGATAAAAATGTTTATGCACTTTCTATGAACATACTGTAAATTATCAATAGATATGTTCTTCTTAGTAAGTTGCTTTTTATTTATTTGATTTTCAAGATGCCAGTCAGAACCTTCCATTTCTTTCTTCTCACTTCAGGGTATAGTTGGACAATGGTGAAAGAGATGGATTATATATGCAGTGGACTGAATCAGCCCGTCACCTTCCCTGTCAGGGCAGCGTTAGTCAGGCAGTCTTGTTCTCAGTTACTCTGGCTATTGAAGAAATCAAACAGGTATGCATTATCATCTTAGTAGTATAAGGTATGAGTGTGCCTGAAACTAAAGATTAAAAGGACTTACGATGGTATGTGTCTGTAGTGCAAGCACTTGGGGAGTGGAAGCAGGAGGATTAGGAGTTCAGGGTCCTCCTCAGCCACAGTTGTGAAAAAAGCAGTGCATGTGGGAGGAGGAGACAGGAGGGAGAAAAGCTGATGAGGTAAGCACATGGATTCCTCCTTGATGGACCTTCCTTTACTTAATATCATGACTTTTGCCTCTGTCCTACACAAGTTTGCACTTGGTAGATCCAGTGCATGTTGTCGTCTTTACTATGCTATGCAGTCACAAAAAGTTATAAGTGGATAGAGTAGTGTCTTTGAATACTACTATTACATAAATCTTTTTCATATGCCATTTTAATCCTTTGATATATAGTAAAAATTTGCTGGGGCTAGTAAGATGTTACAGTGGATAAATGTGCTTTCCATATAGCCTGGTGACTGAGTTTGATTCCCAGAACCCACATAAAGGTGGAAAGAGAGAACAGACTCCATAGAGTTGCCCTCTGACCTCCACACACAAAACCATGACACATGCACTCACATACACATCATGAACACACACAATAATAATAACTAAAAATTTTTAAATTAGCTGGATGCTGGATATGGTGGTACATGCCTTTAATCCCAGCACTTGGGAGGCAGAGGCAGGTAGATATCTGTGAGTTTGAGGCCAGCCTGATCTATAGTGAAAGATTTATCGTCCTCTTTTTTTTTTTTTTTTTTTTTTTTTCAAAAAAAAAAAAAAAAAAAAAAAAAAAACATTAGCAGGAACATGTGTTAAAATTAAAGAGTACTATAGTGGTCCACATATCAAAGCAGTTTTGGTACTACTTTTTAAATAGGCTAAACAGTAGAAAGCGCAGAAGTAAATCTGAACCTATCACAGAATTTGGTTTAGGAACAAGCCAGCACTGCTAGTCATTGGAGCCAAAGTACTATAACTGTATTGTGTTTACAGTAACAGTTAACTATGTAGGAAAAACAATGCTCACAGCTTTTGTTAGTCCTTTTTCCAAAGTAAATTATCATTGAGTCAAGAACATTAAATAGTCAATGTGTGAAGAACAAACAAGAATGGCTTTTTAATGTGGCTTCAGAATACAGGAGACTTCTTGATGCTAAAGGCACAAAATTCAGGAGCTGTGAATGTTTTGATGCATTTAAATACATAAGAATGATAATGTTAGAGAGATTAAAAGAATTTTATCACATAAAACATTTTTACAAATCATCTAGCAAAAGACCCAGTTTAATAATTTACCGTATTTGGGGACTGGAAAGATGGCTCAGCAGTTAAGAGCACTGACTGTTCTTGCAGAGGACCCGGGTTCAATTCCCAGCACCACATGGCGGCTACCAACCGTCCATTAACTCTAGTTCCAGAGGAATTTGATGCTTTCTTCTGACCTTCATAGGCATTGCATGATACAGGCGCTTTTACACATACGCAGGCAATACACTCATACACATAAAAATAGAAATGGTAAGTAAAATATTTTAAAAATTAATTCACCATGTTGGAGGGAATAGAGCAAGCCACAATGTATACATTATTGGGTGAGAGTAAAAATGACAATTTCCTTAAAGTGAAATTTGGTGTATGCCCATGAATTTAATCAATAAGGGCTTATCTCCCTAAGAGAAGTTCATGAAAGCACAGAGAGATGAGGCTACTTTGAAACATTGTAACTACAAAAGAGGTGGAACATTCCAAATATCTCTCAGTCAGGAACTAACGGAATATATTCCATACTATGGAATATTATATGCCTGTCATAGATCATGCTATCAGCTTTCTGTTTTAATATGGAATGGTCTCTAAGGTAATACTCTGAAGTGAAAAAATTAAGATGCAGAATGATATGTGTAGTATGATTCCCTTTTAAGGGAAAACTGGATGTATAAAAATGCTGATGGAAGAAATAAACCTCAAGTTGTTTGATCTGTGTCTGCTAGTATTGTGCTTGAAGAGAAACATTAGATGATACCAAACACTGTAGTAGTCAGATTCTCCATTACAAACAACTGAAGCCAATTTTGGCTAACTTAAGAACAAAAGATTTACTGAACTATTGAGAGACCATCATTTTAATAGTATCATGCAGTACTGTTAGGCGTGTTCTTGTGGCAAACTCAACGTTTCTTTTTAAAATATATTTTTTATTATTTTTATTTTATGTGTGTGAGCCTATTGCCTGCATGTTTGTAAGTGCACCCATGTTGTGCAGTGTCTGAAGAAAACAGAAGAGGGCGTCAGAGCCCCTGGAACTGGAGTTACAGATGGTCGTTAGCCACCATGTGGGTGCTGGGAATTGAACGAGGTTCTCTGCAAGAGCAACCAGTGGTCTTAACCTCTGAGCCCCTCATCATTTCTTTATTAACTCTGTTTCTAGTTTTGTTTGTTTTCCTTAATGTTGGAGAATTATACTGATGTCAACTAGCATACTATGTTAATTTTTAAAAGATTATTTAAGTGCACTAAATTAAATTATAAAATTGAATTCACATACAGAACTCTTTAAACATATCGCCTCATACCCCTATTTGAGAAACATTCACAATATAAACAGACAATTTTCATGGTTACAGAGTACTCAAATAATTGTATGTACTGTGAGGTTATAGCTACATTCGTGAGATAATCCTTATAAGGCTAACTTCCAATCATGTGCTACTTGCATTATTTTTAATGACTTGTCAGAATGATTTTGAATGGTCATGTTCAGTCTTGAAACTTTCAACTTATAGAGGCACCTGATAGCCCAAGAGTCCATAGTAAGTCTCTCAAACTCAAACGTAATTCAAATAGGTCTTGTAAATTGCACAGTAGTAACAACTGATGGGACATTGTTGGACTGTTCACTAAGCACAAGAAATTTTAGGGTGATTTTTTTTAATTAAGCAGAAATAACACATTTTTAAACACCTTAGTACTGGGTCTTTCAAACTGAAAGTCATACATAAATAATGGACTTTTTCCTTATGCTTTTTCCCATGGAAGTAGATCATAACAAAAAGCTATTTAAATGAACTAGACAATTCACTAAAGTAAGATAACTAATTTTTTAAAGCTTGGGTTTTTTTTCCCCTAATACAGTAGCTATCAAAATATGTTGAGATATATGTTCTAAGACCATAGAATATGATTATGATTATAATTATTAGTATTTTTTTGAGACAGGGTCTCCCTGTAGCCACAGCTAACCTAGAACTAGCTGTCTAGACCAGGCTGGCCATGATCTCAGATATTTGTCTGCCCCTGTCTCCTAACTGCCAGAATTAAAGGCATGCATCACCATACTCAGCCAAATGTGATTATTTTTACCCTTCATTTTGAATCTGTATAACAAAATTGGAAATACTAGCCATTTATTAATCCTTGATCCATATTTTTCAGAAAGGGCAATGTTTGACATAATTGAGAAAGATTTTTTAAATGATACATTCTAATAGCATGAACTATATAAATTACCAATACTTAGATATTGCTCTTGATTAGTGTGCAAATATATATAAGCAAAGCATAATTGTTTTAAATGGAGATTTTGCAAATTTCATACAGTATATTTTGATCATATTCAGACTTTTTCTCCTATTTGCAGTCCTCTTACTATCCCCACCCATTTTATTGTACACATATACATACATGCACATATACACACACAAATGTATATACACACACACATATATGCACACACATGTTGTTCTAGTTTGTTTCTCCATTGCTATGAAAAAACACTCTGACCACTGCCAACTTGGGGATGAAAGGATTTATTTGTCTTACATATCCCGGGTCACAGTTCATCAGGGAGCCCAAGGTAGGAACTCAGG